CTTCTGGATCTTGTAAGAGCTCCACACCAAAGACTTGCCTGGACCCAGTCTGGGCCTCAGATTCGGGCAGTGGGGGAAGGGACTGGAGCCCAGGAGATAAGACCCGCCTAGCAACTGTTGCTATAGGAAAGTGGCCTTTGTTATAGAGCATTAGTAACACAATAGGAGGCTGAGCAGCCAGGATAGTCCATCAACATCATCCCAAGGCTCTGAATTAGCCCCACAGCCAAGAAGGGGGAGGTAATGCGGCTCAGCAAAAGAATTCCAGTGAAGACTGTTTTTAGTTGTTAATGTGTTGATGGCTCCCCCTACTCTGGCTAATGGGGGGCATTAAGGCACAGACTCTTCATTGCTAGAAGCCTTTGTTCAAGGGTCAGGCCAGAACAAATGGTCAATCCCATCCCCCTCAGCCTCCACCGGAATCAGAAATCCCAGCAGCCCTCTACCTTCTGGGAAGGCTGGCTGGGGTGTGTGTGCGGGGGGGTGGGGTGGGGGTGTAGCCTGGACAGAGAGGACTGGAACTGGGAAGTGTCCCCAATTTACCTGCCCCGGAGCCTCAGTCTTGCCACATCAGTCTCAGGAAGGAGAAAATAACCACCACAGAAAAGGGGGAGAGGTACAAGAGGGAAGCATTGCCCCAGCCTTTCTCTCTTCCCTCCAATTCATTTTCTCAGCATCTTCCCCAAATACATCCCTGCCAGGTTCAAGATGAAAGTCACAGTCCTCAAACCGACCAAGACCCAAAGCATCTCAGCGATTCTCTCCCTCCCTCTTCTCATCACCGTTCAAGAGCCTGAAGTTCTGCAAGATGAAGGAATCATTCTCAGCACCCACCCCAAGGAAGCTGCCAGGATTTGCCCAATGGAAGGCAACAACCCTGCTAGGGGCCAGTTCTTGGTAAAGCATCAACTCAGCTCACATTGTTGTTGTTGTTGTTATGTGCCATCGAGTCAGATCTGACTCAAAGCAACCCCTCCTTGGGTTTCTGAGGTGGTATCATTACGGAAGTAGATTGCCCAATCTCCCTTCCAAGGAGTAGCTGGTGGGTTTGAACCACCAGCCTTCTGGTTAGCAGTCAAATGCCTTAGGCACTAGGCTACCTGAGCTCCTTCTGCTCTCCCTAGGGAGTACCATTTCTCCTCAGGAAGTAACAAAATTGAAGTTGGATGCCCTCTCTGGGAGCTCCTTTTGAGATGAATGTTGCCCCTGAGCTCAGAATGCCCAGTGTGATGGGAGAAGTGCTAGACTTAGGAGACCTGGCCTCTATCTGGTATCAGCTCGACCTTAGTGAGCCTTTCTTTCCACTTCTGGGAAATAATATCTTGTCTAAGACAGGGTACTTGTGAGGCTCAAGTGCCTTGGAGTCAAAATGCTCTGTAAAGGTCAAGGTGAATTAGGCCCTTTCTTAAAAGCATGGTCTGTGTTGGGCCACCTGGATCAAACCACCTGGGGGCCAGTTCACATTGCAGTTTCCTGACCCTACACACTGAATCAGGATCCTGGGAAGTCAGGGTCCCAAAGCAGGAACTTTAAAGAGCACCTCCAAAGTACTTCTATGCACCCCAAAGTTTGAGAAGCACCATCAACAAGTATAATTATCATTGTTGGTGTCTGCTGAGGATATTAGAAGTGTAGAAAATATTCACACTAGGTCCAGTCTGAAATAACTCACTATCTAGTTGGAAAATCAGTGCTTATATATTATGACTAAGATAAGGTAACAAAAGAGAAGTTCTGGAGATAAATGCTAAGGAAGACAAAGGAGGGGATACTGAATGTCACAAGCCCAGCAAGGTGGTGGAGGAGGGCTGATCTGACTAAGGAGGCAGGATTTAAACTGGGCCCAGAGAGGAGGCTGGGGCTTAGATGGGTCAGGTCCATGGGGAGAAAGGAGGATTTTCCAAGCCAAATACATGGGAATAAATTGTTCCAGGAAGTGCCATTTCTTCCATTCTGTATAGGCCAGACCAAGTGCCAGCTCATCCCTTTCAGGAATCCTGTTCTCTCTAGAAGCTGGGTCATATCCTTTCTCTTCATTTAGAAGGATTGTTTTCTTTATCATTAGGCACTGAATGTCCTGATCCATAATTATTTGTACCTAGGTACCTATTCTCCTCACAAAGCTGATGAAAACTCTACTGAGGAGCAAACATCAGCCTCACTTCTACCTCTCAAGAACTCAGAAATAGGAATTTAAGTCTGTACTTTCAAACTGTGACACAAACAACAGATCCAAGTGGAGATAGTGCAAAGTCTCCGGGGAGAAGACTCTCCAGGGCCCAGCCAGATGATAACCTTACTGAAGTATTAACATATCTAAAGAAAAAGATGGGTCAGTGCAGGATGCAAAGAAAAGGGAGAGTTGACCCTTGAAGAAGCTTTGTCTCCTACTAAGGGAAAGGGATCCCTGACCCACAAACTGGAAGAACTGGTTCTTGAAGCAGGTGTGGGCCCTGGTAGTAAAGTGGTTAAGGCTCACTTCTCCTAAAGGTTGGTGGTTCAAACTCAACAGCCCCTCCACAGGAGAAAAGAAGTAAATCTGCTTCTGTAAAGATTTACAGCTTTGGAAATCCTATGGGGTAGTTCTGCCCTGTCCTGTAGGGTTGCTATAAATAGGAATCAACTCAATGGCAGTGGGTTTGGGTTTGTTTGTTTGGAACAGGTGCATACTTTATTAGGGAGCCTGCAAACTATTTACATCAGTCTGGGAGTGTTGTTGTTGTTGTGTGCCGCGTGAGTCAGACCCGACTCATAGCGACCCCTCCTTGAGTTTCCAAGGCAGTATCACTACGGAAGTAGATTGCCCAACCTTCCTTCCAAGGAGTGGCTGGTGGGTTTGAACCACCAGCCTTCTGGTTGGCAGTCAAGTGCCTTAGGCACTATGCTACCAGAACTCCTGTTGTTGTTGTTAGCTGCCATCAAGTCAGCCTCCAATCCATAGGGTGTACAACAGGATCAGACCTATGGGATCAGATTGTTGTGATCCATAGTGTTGTCACTGGTTCATTTTCATAAGTAGATCACCAGGCCTTTCTTCCTAGTCTGTCTTAGTGTGACTTAGACTCAGTCCCCACTGAAACCTGCTCAACTTCACAGCAACACATGAGCCTCCGCTGACAGATAGATGGTGACTGTGTATGAGGTGCGCTGGCAGAGAATCAAACGTAGGTCTTCCTCATGGAAGATGAGAATTCTACCACTGAACCACCTGAGCCTCAAATCAATCTGGGAGTAGTGAATCAATTTGTTGTTGTTGTTGTTAAGTGCCGTCGAGTCAAACCCGACTCATAGTGACCCCTCCTTGGGTTTCTGAGGCAGTATCACTATGGAAGTAGGATTGCCCAACCTTCCTTCCGAGGAGTGGCTGGTGGGTTTGAACCACCAGCTGTCTGGTTAGCAGGTAAGTGTCTTAGCCACTATGCTACCAGAGCTCCCGTGAATCAATTTAGGGGGTCCCAATAAGCATTTAAAAAAAAAAAAAAGAGTGCAAAATGTCAGAGTCATTTGGTTTCTGAAATGCTTATTTCATTTTACAGATGGATATGGTTAAGTGTGAAAAACACTGTCTTAAATAGGGAATTTTTTATAGTACTTTTTTCTTTTCTGGGAAAAGGGTTTCATCAGATCTCCAAAAGCTAACACTGACCATGTCCTTCTTTGTATTTTCACCAGACCCCATAAATGGTTCTTCAACATCTAGAAGAATATCAGTCACATGAATTTCTTTACCTATTGGTCTCCCACTGAGAAAGTGTTGGGCATGGATTCTGTTCTATATGCCTTTGTTCACACAGTACCTCGCATAGGGCCTGACTCAGAGTAAGCACTTGCAAGTGTTTGATGAGTACAGGAAAGAAGAGAGAAAGAGAGGAGGGAGGGAAGGAGGAAGATTGAAAGATAAGGTTGGGGTGGTGAATACACTGTGTCTTGAGTGACTCTCCCTACATGCCAGAGTTTGAACTTTATTCCAACAACATTTGGGAATCTCACACACACACACACACACACACACACATTTCAAGGAGATTAAAGAAAAGGTTGAATGTAGAATGTAGAATGTCTTGAAGAGAAATCAATGAGGAAGCTTCTGTAGTAGAAAAGACAGGAAACAGCGATGAAAGTTGGTAGTTCCTAGAGGGGAGGGGAGCCAAGGGAAGGTTTCCTGCAGGAGCCTCCAGAGCCTTGAAGCTGAGCAGACCCTGGTAGGGAGGGGTCCCAGGCTGGGAAAAAGGGAAGTAGAGAGTCACCAGGCCTTTGTCTTTCCTGCAGACTCCTTGCAGACACCCAAGCCAGCACTGTCAGACCCCAAAAGCCGTGTTCTGAGGTCTGCTAGAAGCCACTAGTTGTGGGTGTATGGGACTCTGGGGGAGCACAAGCTATCAGTTCCTCTACCTTTACAAGCCAGAGTACTCTATGAAACCTCTTTTAACACATTAACCCTGCCCCAATTCTGTTTCTGAAAGCTTCTGTGATTACAGCGTTACCCATAGAAAACCAAATCAAACCATTGCCATCAAGTCAACCCTCACTCATTGACTGCCCATAGAAGACCCCAGTTAAAATGCAATCATGTTTCACAGGAAGAGCCCCTCAGGAGCTCACCCACTTCATTGTTACATGAGACTAGATCCATGATCAGATTCAACAGCTGTCTCCTTACCAAGAACATTGTCCTAAGAGACTCAGGGATGCAAAAGGAGATAGGTCAAGAAAGGTCCTAGCAGGAAGCACTACTCAGAGTCCAAGGCCAGGGAACCATGAGCACCCAGGGAGCACCATGCCTACCAGAAAAGGGAGAAGGGCAGTGACGGTTATGGCTACAGTTTTGCTTGGGCTAGCCCAGTACATCTTACAGTCCCTTTGTATCAGTGACTGGGGGGATGAATTCATGAGCATTTAGTCCTCTCTCTAGCACTAGCGTGAAGACCAACAAGGTGAGATCTAAGTCAAGCATAGAGCAGAAGAGGAGTGGTGAGGAGAGGACAAAGAGGTGGGCTTACTGGATGCAGCATGGCTCTGAGCTCCAGGTAGATCACATTGTCCAGGTAGAACTCCTCAAGGCCCCTGATGATGTAGTCTCTGAACACTGGCGCATAATGGACAAGGCCAGAGATTGTGAAGAAAATGGTTTCAAACTTTGTCCATATGTCATCTTGGTCTGCATAAGTCACCTCAGGGTTCTCAGTCACCAGAGTAAAAGTCTTCAGCAGGCTGTCCAGGACACAGAAGGAGTGTGTAAAGGAGCACACTTCAGGCCTCATGTACATGCACATGTAGCGTTTCTATATGTCTTGCTGCTCTTACCCAGAAGCATAGTGTCATAGTGAGGGTGATAAGGAGAAGGCAAAGGGAAGAATCCCTGGCTCTCCACTCCACGGCCTCCATCCTTTAATCAGGTAGCTGGCTGCTGGCTCCATACTCCCACCAGCTGGCTCCATACTCCCAGGAGACAGCTCTGGAAGGAGGCTTACCCAGCCAGGCTCTCTGGTTCTCCCTCCATTTGTTTAGCCTATCCAATTCCGCTGTACTTACGTTGAGACCAAGCTCTTTTTGGGTGGTTAAAAAAACAACAAAACCCTGTTAACACTGAGTCAATTTTGACTCATGACAATCTCATGTGTCACAGAACAGACGTGCCCCCGAGGATTATCTTGGCCATAATCTTTATGGTAGCAGATTGTCAGGCCTTTCTTCCTCAGTACCACTGGGTAGGTTTGAACTGCCAGCCTTCAGGTTAGTAGCTGAACACAAACGAGCCACCCAGAAACCGTCTTTGGGTGATATAGTGTCAATAATTCTGTACTTAGAGCCACATGACCTAGGTTTATATTCATTTATGAGCCATGTGACCCTGGACAACTTATTTAACCATGCTAAGCTTTGTGTTTCGTATTTCATAAAGGGAAATAACCTTAAGAAAATGCCCTGCATGATTCCGTGATCAAGATAACTTTTACTGATAACACTACTATACAAGTAACAAACAATATTATTAGTTATAGTATTACTTCCTTCTATTAGTATAGTATATATTCTAATATTATTACTTATAATAATATTACTATACAAGTTTATTAAGAAGTTGCTTTATCATGTTTTCAAACTGTTTCATCTATCTGAGTTGTCATTGTCCCAGGAGCTGGGCATTTTCTTTTTTCCAGCCCTCATTGAACATCAAGACAAATCTCATTTTATGCAACAACAGTGTTGCTGCTCATATCAGATTTTAAAATGCACCAGGAACTTGGCTATGGAAAGAAAAGACACTAAATGCTTTTTTGAAGCAAAGTATCGATCTGTAAAGTTAAAAAGAAAATGTCTCCTGATTTTTCTCTTTTTTATGGCTAGATTTTTAACCTAAGAGTTTGTACCAAATGAGACACACCTACACACTGCACATTATCTATGACAAGTGTGCAACACCTGCTTTCTGGACCACCACTCACCCATTGTCAAACTCAGTAACGTTCTGCAGCTCTTTTCTATAGTTTTCCAGCAAAATCCACTTTGAACAATCTTCCTTCTTAGGGGCAGGGGAAATTGGGAGAGCAAATTTGAACCGCAGAGTCCCCCTTGGAGTAATACACATATGGCAGTAAGGCCTATAGGTGACATTTTTCACCAGCCAGTCCATATCCAGGATGCCAAAGTCATGGAGGTGTAAGGCAGCCCCTGGAAGGGAAAAAAGAAGATGAGGGAAGCAAAGGAGGGGAAGTTCTGTTCCAGGGATACAGGCTTGTGAGGATGGTGTTAATGGAGAAGAAGGGGAAGACATAAGGATTATTATAAGCCAAGTTCTTCTGGAAAAACACATAATGTACTTTTGTCCAGCTCTAAGACTTGATCTATTTCTTGTATTTGCTCCCCAGTATGGCCACTGTCTGTCTTCTTTGCTCTAGCAAAGAGTATGGTTTCCTTGTCTTCCTCCCTCATTAGTCAGAAACCGTGGATGTGTTGGGGACAGCATCAGGTGTGGAATCAGAAGACTGGGGTTCAAGTCAGGGCTCCATCAGCTTCTAGCTCTCTGCAGAGCCCAAGCCTTTAAACAAGGCCTCCTCAGCCAACACAAGGTAAAAACTCACTGCCATTGAGTGGATCCCGACTCATAGTGACCCTCTTTGGGTTTCTGAGTTGGTAAATTTTTATGCAAGTGAATTGCCCAGTCTTCCTTCCATGGAGTGGCTAGTGGGTTTGAACCGCCAATCTTCTGGTTAGCAGCCAAATGCCTTAGGCACTATGCCACCGGAGCTTCTTAACACAGGGTGAAGTGATCTTATTAAGAGTGAGCCATGGGCACTCTAGCTCTGCTTGCACAATTGCCCTTGGTCCTCTTACTCTGCTCCCCAGACCTGACCCCTTTGCTTGCTTTCCATTATCTGCTGTAGGTCAGTACCTGTGGAGCTTCTGACCTGAAGGCTTTGCCATTTGGGGCCCCATGCAGGCACTTCAGATCTCTGCCAGTTTGCACTCCAGGGCTTGTCAAGGCAGAGTATATACTGTTCATTCCTTTGCTCTTCTTGCTGAACCCAGAACCCGGGTCTGACACTAACCCCATGGGAGCTATCCCAAATGTGTGAGGCTAGTGCATTGCCCTCTCCAAGGTTTACATTCCCCATCAACCAGGAATGATAAACTCTACTTTACCAATCTCAGAGTCATTTTTATTTTAATCTCTATTTATGACATTTAAATAAAACGAGGTAGAGAAAAGTAAGTGGCAAACTGCTATTTGATGAGTTATGCATATGAGATTATATGACCAGACCCTTTTCCAGCTGTGTTAGGGAAGACCAGTAATATCCAGGGACCAGCACCCCACCCCCATCCCAGCTACTGTGTCTCTGAAACTGAGTTCCCTCAGAAGCAATGTCTTTGGTTCCCAGGGTGAACTAGCAGCTACCATTAAATACTCCTGGCCAGTGAGAACAATGGAGCAGTGTTGCTTAGTGGCTTTCTCAGGTACTCTGCTGAGGACTTCTTTAGATACTGCTCTTATTTAGAATAAAAAGGCACACGGACTTCTAGAAAACAGCTCTAAGTTTCTCCATACCTTTCCAAGGTCCCAAAACCACCCCTCTCCAAACCTCTACCTTTTGGCATCTTCTTCAGGACATGGAATACCTCACTTTTCTCAATGAGTTTCTTGGCCTGGAAAAAGTGCATGCTGGGTGGGAACTTCTGGGTCTTCATGGCCTCCATTATCTCAGCCCTTTTGAGGGCCATGAGCTTCCCATTGACATCTTCCTCTTCTTTCTTCAGCACCAGTTGCCCACCAAGTCGTACCATTGCCTCTCTCTTTAACAGTTCATCCCGTTCATCATCTATGGATTTGGCTGAGCAGAAAAATGACAACACCATAGCCAAAAGCAGGAAGAGCAGTGCTGGCCACCCAGATGGGCCACCCACAGACATTGGGATGCCTAGAAGAAGAAATTGATCAGATGGAGACTCAATCAGATGAGGCAAGTAAGGGAATATCTACACATTTAACTGTGGAACTCTCACTTCCCTTCTCCCACTCTGTTCTCAGATCACAGGCTAGTGGGTTCCAACCACTGCTACTTTTTGGTTGGCAGCCTAATGCTTCAACCACTATACCATCAGAGCACCTTCAGATTACCAGCAGGCAGAATATTGAAGAATTTTTCTCTGAGACCCCAGAGAAAAGACCTGCTTGTACAGAAAAGTAGGAGGTTCACCATCTATGAGATCTTCCTATGGTGAAGTCTTTCATTCAGTAAGCTTTTCTCACACAAAGAGAAAGAAACTGCAATCAGATGTTTAGTGTTTCACTTTTAAATATAGCCACGAACAATAGATCACAAGACATTTGAGGAAAGTCTCCAACATGAAAGAGAGAGGCAGACGTACAGAGATCAAACTGAAAGGAACGAGGAGGAAACTGAGACAATGCAGGAAATAAAATAAAAATCCAAAAGAATACAATAAATATCCTTAGAGAGATAAGAAAAGATATTGTACCCATAAAATAGGAATAGGAGGTTATGAAAAAAATAAATGAACAGAGAATAAGAAAGAGCTTTTAGAAATTAAAAATATGAAAGCTCAATGATATGAGACAAAGTGTATGTGAACTGCTGGATGGAAAGTGAATTTCCTCTACAAATTTTCAGCCAAATCATCATCATCATCATCATCATCATCATCATCATCATAGCAATATATATGAAAACTCAAGTCTAAAATTTTACAGCAAAGTATTAAAAGATGTAGTGGAAGAAAATACTTTAAAAATAGGAGAAAATAAAATGGGAGTATGATTAATCTAGATAATCTAACACCTAAATACTAAACATTTCCAAGGGAAAGGAAAAAATAAGATGAAATCAATGGGAGGGAATAATTAAATAAATAATATAAGAAATTATCCCAGAACTAAAGACCTAAGTTTCAAAATTGAAAAGCACAATGAGTATTAATAGCCACACCAAAGTACATTGTCTTGCTATTTCAGAACATTGGCATTAAAAAATATTCTAAAAGGCTTCCAGAAAGCAACTAGTCCAGATTAGCAGTGAGCAGGGATTTCAGGAAAAAATGAAAAATAAACTTGTATTTATTAAGAGTTCTCTTTTACCAGGGGCTATGTTAAGTACTTTACATTAGTTAAATATTTTAATTGCATTTAAGAATTGTTCCTGAATACTTGGAATTCTATGTAACAGAACAAGAAGGATGATATATATGGTATATTGGAAAGAAGACTGTAAACTAGGAGATTTCAGGAATAGTCCCATATTAATATCAGTCTTTAACTGTGAGATCTTGAGCAAATTATTCAGTGTATATGGGCCTCAGTTTTCTCACTTATAAAAAGAATGAATTGAACTATATCAGTGACCCCAAAGGGTGATCAGTAAAACATGATATTATTTTAGGTGGTTCACAAATGACTATGAATTACTTTGATAAATATGTGCTTTTAAAATGTGTATTAGTACATCAACCCATTGTATCATGCTACTGTTATTTAAATTGAATTTTAAAAATTTAAGTCTGTAGATTTAAAGAAAAATATTAAGTAAATGAAAGTGCAGGGATATGACAGCAAATGAAAGTTTGGTGATCATTGGACTAGATTATATGCAAGGTTCCTTTCAGCCCTGGCATTCAATCTTTCTATGGTTCATTAAATGCCAAGACAGAATTTTAGGAAGAACTAGATGGTTATTTATCCCAGTGTCACAGTTATAGTAAGGGCTATAGCCCCAGAATCAGAAAGTTGAACTTTCCTCAGACTACAACCAAGCATGTGTTTGCCCTCATTTGAAATCACTAGAGAAAGATGACAGATCCACCTCATCATCCCACCCACCCCATGCTGTAACTTCCACTCACCAACCCCAAACCCTTGTTCCTCTCTCCTTAATGACACATAGCTGAGACCACCAAGTTTCGCAATTTCCAACATCTTCCTCCCCAAGAGGGACTCCAAAACAGAAGAAAAGCAAATGAAAAGATTACTGGTCCAGGATTATGTAGTATAGCATCTAGGGACTTTTCCTGACCTGATGAACAGAAGTCTATCTAGTTATTGGTCAGTACCAGCACAATCAAACACAAGGAAAAATAATCTATATCCACACTTACTGCTCTACCTACCTCACCTTCTCTCTCTCTCTTTCCCAGAATTTTACTTTTATTTATGAAAGAGGGTACATGAAAATTCAGTAAAAATAGTTTGTTTCTAGACTGAGAACATGTGCATCTGGGACTTTAGTAAAAGTCCTTGGGCCCTCAAGCATTTTCAGAAGGCTCTTGTGGAGAAAGCCTTCGTTCTTCCTCCTGAGAGTCACAAACCCACATAAGCTGGGGGCCAGGACAGATATTGACAAGTAAATAAAGACCAAGGCCCCAACATCCCAGTTGTCAGTTTCCAAGCCTAGTGCTCTACCCAGACCTTCACAGCGTCTATTCAGATCCCCACCCCAGATCATCCCAGTTACCTCAGAGCTGCTCCAGAAATTGTAGACTATTTGCTTAGTCCCCTCAACAGCTGTGTCAGAAGCACCAGAAAAGCTTACCATCCTGTTTCACTTCCTGTCAGTGAAGGTTTCACTTCACTCCAGCCCTCATATTGCACAGGGAGGCAGGAAAGAAAAGTGGGTCAGACAGGGCCTAGGCAGCAAGTAGGCAGCGAAGTGTGCATAGTGTATGTGTTTATGAGCATGTTTGTGTGTGAGTGTGGAGATTTATTTGTGAGTTTGTGGGACATTATGGGTGTGTTTGTGTGTGTACATGTGTTTCTGTGTGTATGTGTTTGTGTGTATGAGGGTTTATGTTGTATTTGTGTATGTAAATTATGTGTGTGCTTGTGTGTGTTTATGTGTTTGTATATGTGCACATAGGTTTACTTGCATGTTTTGCATATGTATGTGAGTTCATGCATGTGGTTTTATGTATGTATATATATTTATATATATTCATATATACATATTACACACACACATATATATAATATATACATATTATGCATATGTAAGTTCATGTGTGTTTGTGTGTGGGGGTTAGGCATGTGTTTTTGTGTATGCTTATGTATTTGTGTAGGGAGGATTTATGCACATGTTTGTGTGAGTTTATGTGTGTGTGTGAGTATATGTGTTTGTGTGTAAGGGTGTGTTTGTATGTACAGGTAGTTTTATGTGTGCGTTTGTGTATATTGTGTCTTTGTAAGGTCCAGAACACAGTTTTGGACAATAAACTCCACAAATAGGCGCTCCAAAATCTGGTCCTGAACTTTGGGAAGTGTACCTCTCCTCAAAATATGATAGTGGATTGTGGGGCAACCTGTTGGACAGAGAGCAAGAGGTAGATACAATAAAATGTAAATACGCAGGGAGAAAACACAGGGATGTGAGGACAGGGCAGTGTGGAGAGGGAAGAAGCAAGAGGAGGACATAAGGGAGAAGAACAGAAAAATGGCTCCAAGAGGAAGGAAATGGGCAAAACATTGATGACCAAGAACAGTTCAGAGTGTTCAAGAGCACTGTGCTGGAGACAGACCTAGCTTTGTACCCTAGCCAGCTGTGTGGCTGTGGACATGTTAGTTACACTCTCTTCAGTTTCTTTATCTGAAAATGGAGACCATGAAAGTACCTACCACACAGAGTCATTATGAGAATGAAATGAAGAACGCATGCAAAATGCTTGGTTTATAGTAAGTTCTCAATAAATATTAGGCATTGTTGTTATTGACTCACTTACTTTGGACGAATCATCAGGAAAGAACAATTGCTATAAAAAGACATCATGTTTTGTAAAGTAGAGGGCCAACGTAAACGAGATGGGGTGACACAAGAGCCGCAACAATAGACTCAAACGTACCAACAATCTTGAAGATCCTGCAGACAACATTTCATTCTGTTACGTATAAGGTTGCTGTGACCTGGAGCTGACTCAATGGCAACTAGTAACATACAGTTATTAGACTATTGTGAGGCATCATCCAGGCCAACCTAATTAAGAAATGTGAGACTCTACCAGTACTTCTATGACATGCACCTGGTCATTATACTTGACCTGCACCCCATTCTCCCAGGACCACCATAACAACTTTTGCCCTCAAATTAACTCACAAACCCCACAACATTTCCAGTTCTTCAGCTCCTATACCTCTGAAGTTCCTGGGCTCTTTGTTGCCATCTTCTCAAAAAAGTAAAAAGTCATCAATTTACTAAAGAAGAAAAAAAAAAAAAACCAAAGTGAAAATATAAAGAAATTAGGAATTCCTTCATTAAGAATGTGGCAAGTTCAAAATTACTTAATTTTTAAGACTTCAGATGCGGTAGTTATGTTTGTGTGTCAACTTGGCTGGGCCTGGTTGAGTGGTTGGGCAGCTGGTGGTAGTTATTCCCCTTGATGAGACTGGCAATCAACTCCATGGTGGAATATACCACAAGCAGCTGAGTAGCTGCCTTTGGGATGTGATCTGCTTCCTGTATACAAGGAGAGCTTTGGGAATGGTTTCTAGCCGTTGGCACGCTTGGACCCTGCATATAGTCGTGTCATTGCTCAGCAGCCTGCTATGCTCTGCTGACCTTGGAACTTACAATGGACTTAAATTAATGGCCTGCCGTGTGGTTTGGTAACATCAGGACTGTGCCTTTTTACTTGTCAACGCTTGGGGCTTCTCAGCCTCAGCAGCCAGCAGCTGTCTGAGTGAAGAAATGCCTCTAGCTCCAGTGGGCCGGGAGTAGGAGGCAGAGCTGGACCCCAAGTTTGAGGGGCTTTCACCCAGCCCCTAGAGCCTGGCACTTTGAACTTGGACTTAAAGCCTCCAAATTTTAAGAATAAACTCCTGTTTGTTAAGGCCATCCCATTTGTGGTTTCTCATCAGAGCGGCACTTGGTAACCAGAACATCAGAGGAATCAGAAGGAACACAGAAATAGTA